TTAATTACCTTCAAATTCACACATCTTACAGTGGGCTGACAACTAACTCCCCGTTTGCATTAATTACCTCCTTGAAAGCAATTTTAATTACTCTCAGATTCACAAGCTCCTTAAGGTGAAAACAACCTAATTCCTCAAGGAAAGCACTCTCCTGAGACAGAAAATGACCTCTCCACGGGTCCTCTTAGCTGACATATGTGTGGAATGAACACTGTTCCTTATGACAAGCACGGGACGGAATTTCACAGCACCGTTTCTGACAGTGCTCCAGTCAAGGCCAAGGGCATCCTGTTCTCAATCCCAAGATGCACGACGGGATCGGTAATCTGCCATATAAATGGATATGCGCTCTGAGCACACTGTCCTCTGATTGTGGAGTCAGGGACACACCAGCCTGAAACAAGGTAGCCAAAGAAAGGGGTGCTCAGTTCGAACAGCTTGTGGATCACTTGGTGCTCAGCTCTCCCCAGGCTGAGCCCACCCCAAGCACTCCAGCTCTCAGGAATCAGGCTTTCCTTTGCACAATTTGGCACGTAGCATAGTGACGTCATACTGCCCTAATGTGTATGTGCGTTTATAATTTTAAACGCTCCCAGAGCGGGAACCACATCTATCTCATGATTCTTTTTATTCCCCTGCTATAGACTGAATGTTCGAGCCCCACCCAAATTCAGATGTTGAAATCCTAACCCAAAAGGTGATGGAATTAAGAGGTGGGGCCTTTGGGAGGTGATCAGGTCAGGAGGGTGGAGCCTTCATTATGGAATTAGTGCCTTTATAAAAGAGACCCCAGAGAGATCCCTTGCCTCTTCCACCATGCGAGGGCTCAGGGAGAAGATGGCTGTTTATGAACCAGGAAGAGGACCCTCACCAGACACCAAATCTGCCAGCATCTTGATCTCAGACCTCTCAGTCTCCAGAACTGTGAGAAATAAATGTTTGCTGTTTAAGCTTCCAGTCTAAGGCAATTTGTTATAGCAGCCCGAATGGACTAAAACACCCGGGTTTGTTCCATTGCCCTGTACCCGCTAAATACTCATGCGTAAGTGAAGTACTTATTAAGGATGATGGTGACATCTGACTGCTGCTGTTAAGAAACAACTAAAGTAATGAGAGTAGCCCATATCTCACCAAGGAACTCTCCCTGGTCGAAGTCTGTGGTCCACATTGGTGTAATACTTCAGTTGCCCACCAAATTAGACCCCCAGATGTTTGCATTTCCCTTTTCTGATGTTTCGGTTTCAACATGGGAATTCAAGTTCCTCAATGACGAGAAAGGCGAGGAAGAGGGGGTTCCTGATTACCACCCTTTGTCATCACAGCGGGGTCCCAGAATAGTTATGGGTAAGATTGAACCTCCTCCAACCCTTGAACTTCATCAGAGAACATCTTCCCAAAAGTGCTAGACTGAGGACCTCCTAACCCCATGATCATTCAGTCTCAGTTCCCTTGTTCATTAAGTTAGGCCCCATAGTCTATGCTGTCCAAAGATGAATCTGGAACAGAACAAGAATATAAACCCAGGTAATAAACAAAATGGGTTGAAGAGATAGAAAGGAGGGACTGGCACAACCTCCTTGGGTGATGGACAGCTGTGGTTATAGACACCAGTGACGATGTGGAAATGTCAGAGCAAAGATCCCAAGGGGATGCTGGTCAGGAATGAACAGTTAGATGGTGGGTAGAAAGCCCAATTGTTGAAATAGTTTGTGCGACGGTTGGACTAACCTTCTGACAGGGGAAGCTAGGATGATGCATAAGCACAAGGTACAGTATTTGCCTTTTATTTTGAATCCTTGGATACAGAGGTGAATTGAGAAAAATCCATGTCAGGTTTTATAGAGTAATATTTTTGTGTAATTAGATTATGATTTTGTAATATTGAAAAATAGTAAGAGCAAGCATTTGTACTGCAATCAGATGCTACTGATCAGATATTTAGACATGGCACTGGGTTGCAGGGAATAATTTTGTCATCCAGTTGTAAGATATATGAGCTTTTTATTGACGAGGAGGTTTTGAAGTCTAAGAGTGGTTCAAACAGAACTCCTGTCTCAGTCAGCTAGGGCTGCTAAAACAAAATGCCACAGACTAGGTGGCTCAGACAACAAACATTTATTTGTCACAATGGAGGCTAAGAAGTCTAAGATCAAGGTGTGGGGAGATTTGAGGGCACTCTTCTTGGCTTGCAGATGGCTCTTTCTCACTGTACCCTCACTTGGTGGAGATCTCGCTCTCTCCTCTCTCTCTCATCTCTCTTATAAGGGCACTAATCCCATCATTAGGCCCCATCTTCATAACCTAATTATTTCCCAAAGACCCCACCTCCAAATGCCATCACTCTGGAGGTTCGGGCTTCAACATATAAATGGGGAGGGGGCAACACAATTCAGCCCATAGCACATCCTGTGCAAGGTGACCTCAGCAGGACACTGGAGAGTATGTCCTGCCCAAGACAGGGAAAGAGCCACAGCAGGACATTTACTGAAGGCCAGGCAAGCTCTGGCTTACTCTGAACCATGGATCTCCCCTTCATACTGGAAGCCTCACTGGAGGTCTTCAATCAGGGTAATATGAGAAAACTTCCTTTCTACCTAAAGTCAGGCAAGGCCTCCTTGAAAAAGCCCAGACTTTTCCACTGCATTCCTAGGTCCCCTCCTTCAGGGAGAGTCAGCTGGCGTCTATATTCTTTCATTGGCTACCGTCACCTAATCCTCCCCAGAGGCCATGATTTTCCAGACAAGAACCTGGGCAGGTGACAGTGGCTATGCCACAGAGCCAAGAGATAAAGTATGATTTTTTTTTACAGATAAGTTCTAATACAACCCAAATTTTTATTCCACGCAGGCAGTCTGGCACCCAGGAACTTCAGGTTCAAAGGTGACAGTGATCAAAATCCTCCTCTAGTTTCCACATCGAACAACCAACAAAGTGCGGCAATGTTTTCATTAGGTTGATAAATGTTCCCCCCTCCTTTCTGAAACTTCCAGGATATCATCATAAATCCCATTCAAACTCCAAGCCAGGAGAAAAGTTTTCCTTCCAGCACTACTTGTTAGAAACTCTCCTCCATTTCAAATGGAAATCTATTCATAAAATCCACCGTTTGTCTATTTCTACCCTTGGAGGCCACAGAGAATATATGTCATTTCAACATGGCAGCTCTTGAGGCACCAGAAGAGAACTTTCATCCCTCTGCGAGGCTTCTCCTTCCAAGAGATGGCACCCTTCCAGCCCTCCGGGCCTCCAGAGACCTGCCCCTGGGTCCCCACCAGCCTGACTCTCTCCTCTAGACCCACTTCTGTCACTGAAAAATTCCCATTCCCCAGATAAGTTGTGATACCATAGCCTAGTTTTCCTGCTGGGCTAACCACTTTCCAAAAATTATGGAAATTTGTTATAGTTGTTGCTGCTAAGCCCACAAAACCCAAATCCCAATCTCTCACTGAACAGCCCAAGAGCATATTCAAATCATCCTCTGGCTGGACGTCATCCCTGGAATGAATCACAAGTTTCCCTCATTATTGCTGTTGGCTGCCCCCCAAGTTAATGATTGGTGGGACAGACACCACCCCTAATGATGCCCTTTGCCCTGAATGTGGGCAAAGGCAGCACTGAACATCCCATCACAGAGCCCAGGTGACTGCTTTGACTTGACTGAAAGTGAGACCAGATCAGGGAGGTCCTAAGCATCTGCCTCAGGATTGCTAGTGAAGGGGCATCTGTAAGGGCTTAACCTCCAGATTCCTTCACTAGAGTTAACTCAAGGACCCTGCCCTCAGCACTCCAAGCTCCCTCTGCCTGGCCAGCAGCCTTCCTCTGACCAATCCCCCACATGCCACACCCACACTTCTGCTGTGTGTGCCTCCTCCAGATTACCACAGCTCTTGTGTCAACATACAGTCCCCATCATAGTCCCCATTGCAGGACTCTATCTATATGTCCCTGCCTCATCCCTTAGACTGGGAGTTCCTTAGAGGAAACCCCTGGGTCTTATTTAACTGTGTCTCTCATTCTAGCATGGAACCTGGCACAAAGTAGGCACTCGTGTAGGACAAGTGAGGTTGAAATAAACTGACCCGTTGGCTTACTTTGTCAAGCATTACCTACCTCCATTGAGAAAGGCAGGCACTGAGTGTCCCTCCTTTTGGGTGGGAGTCAGGAGAGACCACCACAGCCTCTATCCCTTCACTATCTCCATCATGGTGGGATGATCTGTGGGCTGCTCATAGCATGGGGTCTTCCATCTGATCCCTTCCTATGCCTATGCTCTGCTCCTTCCTGACTAGAGAATGTGCTCCAAACTCCAGCCTATCACCACCAGCCTGTCCTGCAGACAGAAACTGGGGAGAAGAGCCCGACTGAATTGGGGCAAACCCACCCTACCCCCAGTAATAGCAAAAGGGCAGCAGGCTGACCATGNAGCAAAAGGGCAGCAGGCTGCCCATGACCCTGATTAGGCTCAGCAACAAAGACTCTCATGACTATTTTCATCACATCCCAGGACAAGAGGTCCAGCCCGCTCTGTGTGAACCACAGTACAGAGCTCCANGACCCTGATTAGGCTCAGCAACAAAGACTCTCATGACTATTTTCATCACACCCCAGGACAAGAGGTCCAGTCCGCTCTGTGTGAACCACAGTACAGAGCCCAGGGAGGCCCAGTAGAAAGCACTGTGTCACACAACAATTCAAGCAAAGTCAGAAGACACTCAGAGCAACCAGGGCTCTGTTCCTGGACTCAGATTTCCCAAGCTCACATAGCCCCTGACAACGAGTCATCCCAAATGAAACAGGCAATGCTGCTAAGAGTGGTGCCTGGGGGGCAGGAGCAGACTGCCTCTCCTCCTTCACAGTTGCCATGGCAAGAAGGGCAGCGTTCGGGCTCACGACTGTGAGACTAAAGAGCGGAGGCTCCAGCTCCAGTTCCTATCTGCTCTCACTTCCGACGTAGCTCCTCCCACACCTTTCAAGGCCAGGACAGGAAAGGGTGCTCCTACCTGCTAAGATGAAGATGCCCACAAGGATCAGGAAGACCAGCAGGTAGAGCCCGAGGACGGCATGCTTCAGGGCCGACAGGGAGCCCAGCTGGGTGCAGCAGCCGCCTGTCCTTCGTTTGTGGCATGGACCTAAACGACAAGGGTAAGAAGAGGAGGGAAAGGAAAAGCACACTTGAAAACCTCATAAGCTTTTTCTCTCCTTGGTCCCGTCTCTCCCTGGTGCATGCACATGTCCACATGGAGCAAGCCGCTCATACATCTGCAATACAGCTGTAACAATGAGATCTTCAGAACCATGACAAGCTTTTTAGCTTCGAGCTCTCCTCCCACCCTCTGCACTCTTTTATAAAATTTTATTATTTTCTTATTACAGTTTACATTCAGTATTATTTTGTATTATTTTCACGTGTACAGCATAGTGGTCAGACAATCATATACTTCACAAAGTGCTCCCCCCATATTCCCAGCACCCACCTGGCACCCTACATAGTTACTAACAATATTATTGACTATATTGGCTATGCCGTACTTTACATCCCCATGACTATTTTGTAACTACCAATTTGTACTTCTGAATTCCTTTACCTTTTTCATACAGCTCCCCAACC